AGGTGGTAGATCTTTACAGAAATAGATTGCTCTGTAAATCTTCACCCAAATCCTAAAAAAAAAAAAAAAAAAAACAACTATCTCACCACCTAAGCCATGAATGCCACCCCTACTAAGCTCCTGGGTCATGACCCAGAGGACAGAGATAGCTGGCATCGTCTCTCAGCCCAGTCCTCAGTGGTTGACTGCCAAGGCAGCCATCTCTCACCTTGTGGAGGAGGTCCTTGAGACTGTGCGCCACGATGCCCTTCCGCACACTCCTGTCAGCATTGCTTACTCGGTAGGGACGAGCTTTGGGGGCCTTCGGGCTGGGCTCTGACAGCAGCTGCTGGATCACCACTGAGGTACTCACTGCCACATACCTGGGGGCAGTTTGTAACATCAGGATGAGTCACCCACTGCCTCCCAGCCCTTCCCCCACTGCATGCGGAATTCACTCCCCCACCCCTCTTGGCCAAAATTAGAGTAGGCTAGATTCATGGTGGCCTCCAGGCCATACTCATTATACTGCTCCCCTACCACCTCACCAAGCCTACTCTAGATACTCTTAGTCAAAAGCCTGCTAGATCTATACATCTCAAAACCTTAATGGGTATATAAGTCACTTGGAAATCCTGTTAAGATGCAGATGCTGGTTCAGTATGAGGTGAGGCCCAAGCATTTCTAACAAGTCCCCACGTGATGCTGGTAGGTAGGTAACAGACCAAACAAGTAGCCAGGTGATAGAAGACCCATCCCACACCCCTGAATTACCACTTTTATTATTGTAGTCTCTCTCTTCTCACCTGCAAAGTGGGATGAAATGATGAAGTCTGAAATCAATGGAAGTTTTTTTTTTTTTTTAGTACTCCAAAAGAAAACCAAACTCACTGCCATGGAGTTGATCTCGACTCATAGTGACCCCTCCTTGGGTTTCTGAAGCGGTATCTTTATGGAAGTAGATTGCCCAGTCTTCCTTCCAAGGAGTGGCTGGTGGGTTTGAACTGTCAGCCTTCTGGTTAGCAGTCAAATGCCTTAGGCACTATGCCACCAGAGCTTACTGTTATTATTATTATTAATTTTTTAAAAAATTGTGATTGGGGTGAAAGTTTACAGAGTAAACCTGGCTTTCCATTCAACAGTTCATACACATTTTATTTCAAGCTTTGAGGTTGACAATGTAGAACCAAATAAAGGAAGGAAACCTGGGTTTTGGAGTCAGACAGGCCTCAGCTCAAATCCTGACCCCACTATAAATTTGCTAGGGGATTGAGAGCACCCATTCTGTACCTCAGTTTCCTCACCTATTAATATGGCATAATAATCCTCACTTCGTTGTTGTGAGGCTTAAATGACATCAGGAATGAAACCATTAAGCATAATGTCTAGCCTCTGTCTGTTCATTATGTGGTCCAGGAACCAGAAGCATGAGCCTCACCTGGGGCCTTGTCAGAAATGCAGAATCTCAGGTTCCCATCCTCTACCTCTTGAACTAGAATCTGCATTTTAGAAGAACCCCAGGTGACTGCTAAAGTGCACTATGCCATGAGTTGGATCCAACTCATAGTGACCCCTCCTTGGGTTTCCGAGGTGATATCACTATGGAAGTAGATTGCCCAACCTTCCTTCCCAGGAGTGGCTGGTGGGTTTGAACCTCCAGCCTTCTGATTAGCAGTCAAATGCCTTAGGCACTACGCCACCAGAGCTCCCTGCTATGACATTAAATTTTGAGAAGGCCTGGTCTATAGCTCATAGCTAGCTCCACTTCCCTTCCACCTTGACTCCCCTCACCTGGAGAGAGACATGGGGTTGAGAAGGCTGAGGGATTTCATGGCATATTCCATCCGTGTCAGCTGGACTGATTTGGACCTGGAAAAAAGACAGAAACAGCTCATTAAGGTGGTAATGGGAGGGTTCTCTCTCATCTTTTGACAAAAAGATCCCACTACCATCCAGAAAGCTTCCTCCCTGCTCTCCCATCCCCCTCTCACACACTTTCCCCACATGTCTCCTCTCCAACCCCCATGTAATCAGCTGTGACCAAGCCAGAGACCACCCCTTCATCCTCAGGCTCTCTCAGCTGCTGCTCCTCCCTCCCCAGTCCCACTCACACCATGTTTCTCTGATCCTGGCTCTAGTCACACTGATAAGGAATCCCAAGTCCAGGCTGAAGAGGCCCTGCCTGGTTACTCCTCATCCTTGGGGGCAAAGTTCATGTTACACTGGCAGGAGGTAGCCCAGGCAGAGATGAGTCATACCACCTGTTATGGATTGAATTGTGTCCCCCCAAAATATGGAATCTCTGGTGGCACAGTGCCTAAGACATTTGACTGCTAACCAGAAGGCTGACAGTTCAAACCCACCAGCCACTCCTTGGAAGGAAGACTAGGCAATCTACTTCCATAGAGATAAGGCCTCAGAAACACAAGGAGGGGTCTCTATGAGTCAGGATCAACTCAATGGCAGTGAGTTTGGTTGTTGTTTGTTTGTTAAAATATGTGTTGTGATTCCTAACCTCTGTGCCTGTGGTTAAGTAGCTCTGGTGGCATAGTGGATAAAGCACTTGGTTGCTAACCAGAAGGTCAGTGGTTCAACCTACCAGCTGCTCCATGGAAGGAAGATGAGACGATCTACTGCCATAAAGATTTACAGCCTCAGAAACCCAATAGGGGTTGCTATGAGTCGGATCAACTCCATAGCAGTGAGTTTCATTTTTGGTTGGATGCTTGTGGTTATAATCCTCTTTAGAGATGGGTTGTCTTTGTTATGTTAATGAGACAGGATTCATGTAAGGTGTGTCTTGAGTCAATCACTTGAGACATAAAGAGATTAAACACACATTCAAAATGTAGAGATGGAGGACGAGAGATGCCATGCCTTGTGAAGATTGCCCAAGAGTAGAAGCTCAGAAGAGACAAGGACCTTCCCCAAGAGCCAACAGAAGAAGAAAGCCTCCTCCTAGAGCTGGCACTGTGAATTTGAACTTTTAGGCTCTTAAACTGTGAGAAAACAAACTTTAATGGTTAAAGCCACCCATTTATGGTATTTCTGTTATAGCAGCATTAGACAGCTACCACTTCACACTGTTGGACACTGTCCAAAGACCTCACCAGGCTAGGACAGCCCTCCAGCTGCAGTCCATATTTGGCAACCTGCCCTGAGCCTGTTCTTTCCCATGGATCATTGAGCAATGAACCTCTTCTGAAGCTTCCCACTAGCCAGGAGAAGTTTCTGCAATGATGGAAATGTTCTGTGTCAGTGCTCTTTAATAGCTTATCTCCTAGTCACATGTGGCCACTGAGCACTTGAAATGTGCTGAGGAGCTCTGGTAGCATAGTGGCTAAGACACTTGCCGCTAACCAGATGGCTGGTGGTTCAAACCCACCAGCCACTCCTCGGAAGGAAGGTTGGGCAATCCTACTTCCGTAGTGATACTGCCTTGGAAACCCAAGGAGGGGTCGCTATGAGTCGGGACCGACTCGACGGCACATAACAACATGACTGAAGAGCTGAATTTTTTTTTCAATTTCCATAGGCACTGTGACTTGTGGCTAGTAGTGACCATATTGTATAGAATAGGTCTAAGCTGACTGACTTGGTTTCACCTGCTACCATTTTTTCTCCTAAATCTCTATGCTCCAGCTCTTCTATGCTCCAAGATTTTGCTCAGGTAGTTCCTTCAGCCTTCAATGCCTTCCTCTGGCCAAGGGCTAACCCTTCACAGCCTTGAAGCCGCAGTCTTATTGCTCCCTCTTTGGAAAGACAGATGACTCACAGAATTACCCCTTCATCCTGCCCTTCCTATCCAAGTGCTCTAGCCCCCAATCCCTGGCCAGCCTTGAAGTGTTCTCCCTGTTTTCAGCCCCCAGAACAGGGAGGGCCTGGTACAAAAGAAGGGACTCAAGTAGTGGTTACAGAATGAATGGCCTCTCTAGTCAGGTAAAATCACTTTCTCCTAACAACTTGGGGAAGTCCCCAAGCCAGAAAGCCCTCTCCCCCTTAGCACTACCCAAGCCCACTATGGTCTGGTTTCACTCCCTATCCCTAGCAAAACACCACCAATTCCCACCTCACCTGCTCTCCAGAAGCAAAAAAAAACAAAAAAAATCCTTACCTCCTGTCACAGTCTCCTTGTAATACTGCTCTGCTCAGCCCAGCCCTCCCTCCATTTTATTTCCAGGTCCCATTGAAGCCCCTCCCCTGGCCTTCAGCCCCAGCTGGGGAAAAGAGCATGGGGGAGTGAGTTTGTAGCTCTCACCCTTGGGATTTCAAGTCAGCCCGACTTCCAGAAAAGTCTGAAAGGAGGGGAGGGAGGGTGTTTCGAAAGTTTTGCAAAAGAATATGTCCCAGGAGATGATAACAAAAACAGATGGCACAGATTTGGGTTGTAGTCCCAGCTCCACCCCATACTTGCTATTTGAGCTTGGACAAGTTGCCTCACCTCTGTGAGCCCCAGTTTCTCTCATCTGTGTAACAGGGATAATGATTCCTATCTTAAAGGATTGTGAGGTAGATTGGTGATAATAAAAGTCAAGGACTTTTGCACCATAGATACTTAATAGATGTAAGTAATTATTGATATTATTGATAATATAATTCTTTAATGATAGCAGAAACTAAGACCTAGTTGAAATGTGTAGTGGTTATGACCCAGCAATTCCACTCCTAATTATATACTCAAGAGAAATGAAGACATGTCCACACAAAAACTTGTACATGAATGTTTGTAGCAGCATTATTCATCATAGCCAAAAAATGGAGACAACTCGAATATCCATCAGTTGATGAAAGAAAAAAAAAATGTGGCATATCCTATCCTTGAGGTTGGTAGACAATATTTCTACATATGGATTTGTATGTGCTGTAAAAATATTCATATATTCATATAGCTACAGCTAACAAGGGGCAAAGTTATGATAACTTCTTAGCCACAGCCAACCACCCTGAGGTAGCAAGTGTTGGACCTGTGAGCTCAGGACCATGGTTATAGGGGACATCAAGCTCAATTGGCATAACATGCTACACAAAAACATTGTTCTACATCCTGCTTTGTTGAGTAGTTACTAGGGTCTTAAAAGTTTGCAAGCAGCCAATTGGATGCAACAGTAGGTCTCTCCTCTTCTAGAGCTAAGAATAATGAAGAAAACCAAAAAGGCATGGAAACAATTAGTCCAAGAGACTAGTGGACCATGCAAACCTCAGCCTATATGGCCATGAAACCAGAAAAGTAGATAGTGCCCAACTCCACTGTCAACCACTTGGAAAGGGATCAGTGCAGGACATCCTGGAGAACAATGAGGAACTAAACTCAAAATCATAAAAAAAAAAAAAAAAGACCAGGTTTACTGGTCTGATAGAGCCTGTGAGACTCCCAAGACTATCTACGGCCCTTAGTTACCCTTCAGGTCTGGAATTGAATTCACTCCCATGGCTTCCCACCAAACAATAGATAGGCATATAGGGTGAACATTTACATCAGGTAGATACACTCCTTAGAGTGATCAATCATGGGAGAACCAAAGGGCAGTATTTGCACAGGATATAGCTCAGGGTGCAGGAATGCATAGGAAAGAAGGACACAGGGAAGAGGTAACTATGGAGAGAAAGTGCGAAGAGAGCTTTTTACATTGTGGGAAATTGCACTCAGTGTCATGAAACAAAATGTGTATGAACTGCTGTATAGAAAATGAATTTGTTCTGTAAACTCTCACCCAAGTCACAATATAAAAAATGTGGTATATCCTTACAATGGAATATTATTTGGCAATAAAAAGGATACCTGGATGAACCTTGAAAACATTATGCTAAGTGAGAGAAGCCAGTCACAAAAGACCACAAATTGTTTGATCTCATTTATAAAAAGTTTCCCAAATAGGCAAATCCATAGAGCTGAAAGTAGATTAGTGATTGCCAGGGACTTGGGGAAATGGGGAGTGACTGCTAATGGGTAAGGGGTTTCTTTTAGCACGATGAAAGTGTTCTAAAATTATACTAAAAACCATTGAATTGCACACTTTAAGTTGGAGAATTATACGGTATGTGAATTTTATCTCAATATAGCTGGAGCTCTGGTAGCATAGTGCCTAAGGCACTTGACTGCTCACCAGAAGGCTGGTGTTCAAACCCACCAGCCACTCCTCGGAAGGAAGGTTGGGCAATCCTACTTCCGTAGTGATACTGCCTCGGAAACCCAAGGAGGGGTCGCTATGAGTCAGGGCCGACTCGATGGCAAACAACAACAACAACATGAAGAAGGGGAGTTCTGGTGGCATAGTGCCTAACCCTTGACTGCTAACCAGAAGGCTGGAGGTTCAAACTCACCAGCCATTCCTCGGAAGGAAGGTTGGGCAATCTACTTCTGTAGTGATACTGCCTCGGAAACCCAAGGAGGGGTCACTATGAGTCAGATCTGACTCAATGGCAGTGAGAGTTTGGTCTGATATGAAGAATAATGGGGCATCAGGATTGGAGGAAGTATCATTAACCCTGCGATATGCAGATGACACAACCTTGTTTGCTGGAAGTGAACATGACTTGAAGCACTTACCGATGAAGATCAAAGACTACAGTCTTCAATATGGAAGACTCAACATAAAAATAAAAATCCTGACAACTGGACCAATAAACAACATCACGATAAATGGAGGAAAGATTGGAAGTTTTTAAGGATTTCATTTTACTTGAATCTACAATAAACACCATGGAAGCAGCAGTCAAGAAATCAGACACCATATTGCACTGGGCAAATCTGCTGCAGAAGACCTCTTTAAAGAATTAAGAAGCAAATATGTCACTTTGAAGACTAAGGTGCACTTAACCCAAGTCATGGTATTTTCAATCGCCT